ATACATTTTCCCACTCGTCTGATTTGTATGTTAACTTGATTGCCTCACAGAGGGAGGTAGAATGGCAGCCAGGAACCTGATTCTTATCACCCCAGCAGGTCATATTTTTCAAGAGCAGGACAGACGCAGCCCAAATTAATTCAGATTGGAAACTGATCGCGCTGATGCTGCTATCACACCCCAACAAAGATGAGAGTGAAACAGGCTTTCTTGTTGACCTGTGGCTCATCTAACGCAACAACTTTCATCAGAGTTTCTGAGTTTCTGCACTGCAAAACCAAGAAGGAAAAGCATCTTTGACAACCTCAGGGTACAAGATAATTTAGTTAACATTAATAACACACTTTATCCTATTTTTCTGTATTCGGTTTCATTACAAGGAGGCGTGAGCTCACGTGACACAGTTTAAAGTTGTACTGGTTTTGGAGTGACTCTGTGAGAGAATTCACAAAACAAGTTGACTGTTATGCCGTTTTTTGGGGGGGGTTTGTCCATGCTGTGTTATACCAAATCCCTATGTGTGTGAAGCTACTGCAGTTGAGCCACTTACAAACTTACCGAAATGTTTCTGTATGAAACCTAGCAACATGCAACCGTGGTTGGAGGAGGATATTTTTAGCCAGCCCTGCTGTTATTCTAATTGTAGGAGTTCTCGTTTGAATCTTACCCACCCCCTTTAATTGCACTGCCATTTCTTTGTTACCACAAATTAAACCAGCGTGGGTATGTTAAACAAACGAATCAAGTATATTTTAAACTGAATTCTGTCGCCTATTTTAAACTCTCAAACAGGCATGGGATGAGAACTGCACGAAGACGAGACACCAGCGCCAGCTGTTAAAATGCACGTGTCATTTCATCAAACAACACTGCACAGTAAAATTATTATTAGTTCTCATGGACGTATTCATAAACTTGATATGACAGCCGAGGTATCTAGACACATGCACCTTATCAAGGGGTCATTCAATATGCTGATGTTCTTTAAAAGGTATTAACAGCCTGGTCATGAACCTGTCAGCCACAATTTATTGCCACATGAACGCAGACTCTGTAAACCCGTGTCTTTAAAAAATTACTCCAATCATTCAAACAAGTCCCTTTTGTTTATTTACGTCTCTGCTTATTTGGGTTTTATGATTTTAGATTTAGAATTTACATTCAGGGACGACATCTTTAATGATTTAGGTGAGCCAAATCAAAAGAATTTCACAGCTCTCAGTTCGAGGTACCGGTACAAAGTCTTCTACTGATCAGTATGGTTAGTCATGCCAGAGACTCCAGTAAATTATCTTAAGTCACATTTTTACGGTGCTGGACCTTTGGTTGGACCTGCACACTACAGAGCTGAGTTTCACTTGCAATGAGCCATCATCACATGGATGCCTTTGACCCGTACTGTCATTCTGCTGTGCAACTCCGAGAAAGACAACCACTGACTTCATATATCTACTGCAACTCTGCTCTTTCACCAACTTGGAATGTCTTCTATCTTTGCAGCATTTAAGTCCAAGATAAGTCAGTAAGTACCAATCAAATATCTGCACTTATTCCATATGGCAGATCATGACATAACTTTCTCCTCTGCCGTTTACGACAAATGCCCTCATTAAAGCACAACCATTCAATGACATCCTCAAAGTTTTATAATGACATCTATGTAGACACACTGCCTCGTGAGCTCCGGGTGAAACTTCTCCATCTCAGCCGGTTCATTACTTAATTGACTTAACGAAGTACATTTACTCGAAGACATGTACCCACATGAGAGTGAACATTAGGGAGCAGCTCAGCAGTTGTACCAGACCGCCGGCCCCTTCAGGCCAAGCCACCACACATGAACCAACAGTCTTGCTGAAAAACAGTGACACAGCTGGAAGAATATTAACAGGTCACTGAGTATAAAAGGCTTGGTGGCTTTTTCTAAAGGCAATTCTGCAAACGGGCTAAAAGTGGACATGCAGTCTTTAAATGATGGCAAATTGCCATATCTGCCAAGAAAGTGAGTCATTCTGTTGTGTGCTGGAGCTTTGACCCAACATCTTGCATCAGAATGCAGCAAACTCTCGCTGGTTTATCTGAACCTCGTCCTTAAGAAGGAGAAGTTGCAGCAGTTTTCATGGACGACTCCAAAGACAGGAGATGTGTTAAAGCTTGCAATGTCAATGCCACGCACTGTCCAGTCAACATTAAACCTTGCTGTCTGCTTCAAAAAAGTACTCCATACGTAGTTGTGCATCAAAACGGCTGAGACTAATGCATTAGCACTTGGTTTGAAACGTGAAACCGAGTAACTCTGTCTGAAGATTGAGGGGCAAATTAATTTCACAATGTCAAACCAAAGTGGGCAAACAAAACAGAAACATCAACATATTTCATACTTGTGATGACACATCTACCTTGACTAGAGACTCACAAGCATATAGGTTACACAAAATCACAGAGATTTATAGACAAACTCGCCATACTATCACCGACACACAGGTAGGAAATAGCAGGGAGATGCTAGCTGACACCAGGACAAAGTTCAGTCCCATTTGCTAGTGCACAGGTCTTAAGAATCCAGACTCTGCATTTAACCTCATCACATGAACTGCTGGTGTACAGTAAGTAACCCTTTGTGTGCATAAGCAAATACAGAGACCTCGACCTCAATTGTAAGACCAATGCTTATAGGTTGATACATTCTGGATGGTTGTCTTGTACTCCCTCAGTTATGTTGTGTTACTAAAAATACAGCCTCTAACAGGAGCTGGAGCACTATATCTAGGCCTTTGCAGCTTAGGTCTTGTGAGCAGTATATTGGAAACACTTGCCTCTGCTGACAAGGGCCACACAGAGGATTCACTGTCCTACTATGACAAGAAAAAAATCCCCTGTGCTTTTTCTTTTCTAAGGCACCTCTGCAGCCCGAAACAAACAGGTTGTGTGCTTTGTCTGACAGTGTAGATTCAATGAGTTAGCAGCTTTTTTAGTTGTAAGAAGCTGTACTGCACCCCACTGACACAGTCTGCATTCTGGCCTACTTCATTTCCCAGTAAACCACTGGCTCTGTGTGCTGCTTCAGCACAAACCCTGACCATCCCTGTGCCCACATCTCCGGTCTTGTAATTCAGTAATCATCCCCAACGAGGTAAATATGGGATACTCTCACTTTGAAAGACACAGCTTCAAATTTCGGACGACTGACAGTGAGTCTCGACTCTGATTGATTGATTAGCTGCGTTGAGCTCAAGTTAGAGAAGGAGTGTCTGGATGTGGCTTTTCCACTGAGCAGCAATCAGTCAGTTATCACCCCCGGAGGCTCGCTGTGGCTTTGTAGCTCCAGATTGTGCTTTTTCATGTAATCAGCAGTTTTTCTTTTTAAATAGCCTATGAGCAAGCTTTGAAAAATAACTCAGAGGTTAACCCTTAACCCTGTTTTGGCAACAGTTTCAGATGCTCTAAAGGAGAAAATAAGAGAACAATGACTTTAACATCTTATTATTTTATTTTATTTTTTGCAACTGGTTGCAGCTGAGCAACCAGTAAAGTTACATACATTAACTTAAAGAAAACAAAAAACAGACATGATATTCTTTGTGAAGGGCCAGCTAGAATACATATATATATATATGACACTTTGTTGTGTTTGCGGCTTGAATTCAGAATCTTTATTGTGCAGCATTCTCAGCATTTTGTGCCCTAATGTTCAGTAAATGCCTCCAAATTTGTCTTTTCAAATCACTCTTTCCAGAGTCTTTACAAAAGAATTACTAAGGCACAAACTGGGGCCAACCACACTAATGTGTACTATTTAAACCCTGGTTAACATGTGCAGGGGAGGCTGAATGTTGTAAAGCAGAATTGTCTTTGGAGATGATAGCAGACAGTGTTTTTGTTGTTACTCCCGCAGTGTCTGTGAGGCTTAATAGTCCCGCTACAGTATGATGATGATCTACTATGCTGCAGTTGCAGTGTCGAGGAACTGTACTGCTGCTGCTCAGCACATCATCTCCAAACCCCGCCACATGAGGTAACAAGTAGTCCGCACTACATGCTGTCTACCTGCCGTTTACAACAGCCTGTTGAAATAAACATTCCCTGCGCACTGGACCTCTGCAATGCAATAACTGCTGGTGTGATGCTGAAGCCAGATCTTGTGCTTTTCTGCACACACACAAAAAAAAAGTCCAGAATCGAAACATGTCGGCTGCTCAAGTGCAGGGTTTGCATTTTAGTGCAGTGGAGTCCCCCCCTTTTTTTAATCGCACCTTCCAACAACAACTCCTGTGTAAAATCCTGATTTCTCCCCCCCTGGGCCCGCATGATCTAAAATATTGGCCTGCAACTGCAGAGTGATAGACATGAAAGAATAGTCTGTCTCCTCCGGCTGGTTTGGACTGAAAAACACAGCGAGTGTAGCTCATTTAATAGAGAAGTGATGATGCAGAGAGGGAGAGAGAGAGAGAAGAGGGGGGAAAATGCTGCTGCAGTCAACCCGGGGATGGAATAATCTGGTTAGGGGGGACAGAGGAGAGGGGAAAAAACTGATTTGGATCCACTGAAATAACATCCAGACCCCTGCTTGTGTGTGAGAGAGAGAGAAAGGGGTGAGAGAAGGGAGGAGAGAGAGAGGGAGCGTTATTTAAAAAGTTAGGAGATCATGGTGCCGTGGTGTTGGTGATGCAGGGGGGCTTTTGTGTGTGTGCGCGCTGCTGCGTCCCCCCTCCACCAAAAAAAAAAAAAAAAAACTGGCTAGCCGTAATAGCAGCTGCACAGAATAAGTTGTCTCCCCTCTCCTCTCCCTCCCTCCCTGCCTCCCTCCTTCCCTCTGCATGATCCACTCGCTGCATAAATATGATTGCAGATCTAACACCAGTTACAACAAAAAAAATTAAAATAAAATAACGCAGTTACTCTCATCTTTACGCGCACGCACACACACCAACACGCACGCACGCATAACGCCGGCTCACAAGAGAAAGAGGAGTGCAGGCAATAATGGTTGATGAGCTTACCACTTGGATTCTTGTTTTTCTTAAGACTCTTGCCACAAAGACACTGCAGCATATGCGTTCCTTTGCTGAAAATGTTCCAAAGAAACCACATTGATTTGGGCGAAGAGCAATCCAGTGGCTTAAACACCCAGATATAGATGAGATCCTTGCGGTTGCATAATAACACAATTGGATCAGTTCTCCCGAATAAGGCTACCAATTGTATCATAGAAAAAATAGGTAGCCTCTCATCCAAGTCCTATGCGCTCTCATTCACGTGACAAAAAAAAAATCATAAAAAATATTCAGTGTCTGTCAGACTTCGTAATAGCGGTGTGTATTCTTCTCCTGGCGTATAGAAAGAAATGCCTCCTCAACTAGTCGATAATAGAAAATATACTCTGTAAATTGCATGTGTGTCGCACCGGGGAAGGAGGACGTGGTCGCCAGTAAACAAAAACACAACTAACGTGAAAACAGTAAGCCACGGTGGATTTCCGAGGAGAAAATCATTGCCTATTAGTTCATCACTCTGAGGAGAGGGTGGATCTGCACAGCATCAAAAGCCAAGGGAGGATGCATCCTAAGCGCAGACTGCTGCAATGATAGCCCCAACAAAACACCACATTGCCGGGGATCCAAGTCCAATTCCGTTCCTCCTGTATAGAAAAAAAAAAAAAAACAAAAACAAAAAAAAAAAACAGCTGCTTTGGCGAGGTCAGATCACACCAGCCTCAGTTTTCATTTCCCACGCTGCTGCTGCAACGTTTTTTTTTTTTTTCTCCGTTCTTCTCTTAAAGCCAGGTTTCTTGGTGTGTGTCCGTGATTCCTGGAGTGTGCGTTATTGCTCCCTTTCTTTTTTTTTGTGAGGGTATTTTCCTCAAGCCCCTTCTTCTTTTTTTTGTGTGTCAGCACCACCACGCTACTGGCATCTCCAAAAGTACGGTGCGCCTGTATCCAAACATTTGCATGATTTTTTTTTTCCCTTTAGCGTCGGACCTCTGTTGGAAATAGACGGGGAGGAGGGGTTAAATTGAAAGATTGGCTTTCCATTACGTAAACACGTGGTTTCTGCGCCGTCATATCAGTGATGCTCGGGATTTTTTTTTTTTTTGAGGTGGGGGGGATAATCATCGTCCCGAGTTGTTTCGAGTGACGGTGTCCGTGGGAGCAGGCTTTCCTCCGTGTGCCTTGCATGTCATAGAAGTGTGCGTGTGCAGCGGGTGAAATTCCGTCTGCAGGTGTCATTTCTTTGCACACAGTTCCTCAAGTTGTTGCAGCTTTGTGCAGAATAGTGGAGAAATGGTGGTTTGAAGCTCCACAGTCACAAGTGCCAAACCTCCTGGATAGACTTGTACAAGCAACAGATCACTTTTACTTGATAAATTGAATCCTGCATTTGCACACGAGTTCAGTATTTCCTGGTAGCAATTTGCTTCCCTATCACATATATTTCAATTTATTTGTCATTTCTTTGAAAACAGCATTCCCATTTACCAGCATTTGTTTTGCTCCTTTTATTCCTGCAAACAGGGAATCAGTTGCTCATAGCGACTGTTTCCACTGTATGATTACTTTCCTCCAAGGATTTAAAGATTTTCCATCACAGACCAAAGCAGAAGACAATATTGTTTTCCCCTGATTATGCCTGCCCTCACGAGGCAGGAGGGGTTGTGGAGAGAGAAAGTGTATGTTTGCATCTGTGTGTGTGTGTGTGTGCATGACTTCATTTTTTCCACCAAAGACATTGTACATTTGATTTGGAACCAGTTGTTTGTAGAAGTTTGCCATAGATCCGACTCTTAGATCCATCGGCAAGAGTCTCTCTCTGCACACATGGCAGAAGGCAGTTTGTCTGCCAGTGTTCTGCAACAGGACCTATTCGTTGTTCAGGATAGAGTTGACTCCACTTACAGGTGTTCTGTGTGACACTGGTTGGCCAACATGTTTATGGTGCAGTCCACAGAAAAAGAATTAAGCAGCATTGTGCAGATATATGTGACACATTTTGAGTTGTAGTTAGTTCCTTACTTTGTGTAAATTGGAATTTTTAGGTCTGGGAATTCTATTGAGTTCTCATCAAGGGGTTTTACTGCAACTTAAAGAAAAGTTTGATCCCTTTTCTGATACTTCTATTTTCAAAATGAGCTCCAAACCCATGTTACATGCATCAAATTGGTAGTCCCATTATGTCTGTGTTGCATGTGTCGCCCAGCCCTTGAGATAATCTACCTTTCTTGATGGTGTAATGACCGAACTCCGCACACAAGAGTTATTATCCGATGCCGCTTGCATCCAATATAATGTCGAGTGAGCGAAACGGAGAAAAAGCTGAGGTTTGTGTAAACAATATTAGCCGGAGCACAGGAAGCTTGATGAGACACTGGAGGAGTTCATTAGTGGGGTTGTGTTGTGTGTTCATCTCTGAATTACAGCATTAATCCACTTTAATGACCTAGTTTTGTGGCGCCCAGGTCTTGTCAGTTGTCTGTGATAACTGGTTCCTCGGGGATGTGGACCACTTTGAAACAAAATGTTTCCTGATTGACTTTCTTTACATGCCACTACAAGTTTGATATGTCACCGTTTCAAGCCTAACTCTAAGAGTTTTTTTTTTTTGATAGATTTTAAGATCCATCCATCCATCCATTATCTATACACCGCTTAATCCTCTAGATTTTAAGATGTGACTGTTAATTTCTAAATTATTTGTGCTTTTACATAGTTCCTGGTGCAAACGCATATATACTGCCTCAGATAAATGGACAGGTATTTCAGCAATTTGTACGTGCACGCTGTAGACTTCCATTCTCGTGCTCTGGTGAGGTCAATTGTAAAATCAGCACAAGTCGGAGGCAGTACATCGCAGCCTCTCCAGCCTTCTCCCTCTGCAGAAGCCTCTCATGTCATCTTTGCTATCGATCCGTCTACAGTAATGTAAAGTATCATCGCACCCTGGAGGATATCATCTGACAATTTTGTCAGGGATCATTAGAATACTTCTCTTTGATTGCCCGGGCAGCGGCCGGCAGGAAGTGGCTCCCATGTGAGTTTTTAACAGCCTGTTTTCCACTGATGGGGAAAAAATAACTTGATTTAAGATGCATGGAGACAAATGGAGCGGCTCCAGTTTTACTCATGGTCTCTGTGGTTTTACTGTACACGTTTGAAAGGCTCACACTTGGGGGAGTGTGAAGACCGCATGAATGAGTGTTATCATTTGGAGACTGCTGTATATGGAGCGATTCATATTATATTATCTAATGTGAAAAAATAGAATAATATTTAGAGAAGCATTTCATAACACAAGATGTTTTAACTCTTTCTGTACCTGACAAAAAAAATCTCAATACCTACAGATTTGAACTCACTGAAAATAGCACTCATACTCTATGACAAACACATCCTAGGTTTAGGATAAGACTGAGGATATTTAAATAAATAAATGGAAAGGTGGCTGTATGCAAGGTGAACTTATTTACCTGCTAACACTGAAAGATAAGTGCCTACACATGTGAACTGTCAATACCCTAATGTGGTCTCTGCTGTCTTGAAAAGGGCAGATATTCTAGTCAGTTCGGGCTACATTTTTTTTCTTTTTGTTCTGGGAGCGTCTTTCAAAACAAATGAATGATTGAAGACACTTAAAAAGTAATCAACCTGTAAAGTACCTGTAAATTTATACCACAGACTAATATATGCATCACGTTATCCTGGATAATGATAAATGACAGCAACTTTACTAGTTATCAAAAATACACACATGAAAGGTCTTGAAACAGGTTTAATATTGGACACTGGATTTATTTGTAGTACAATTTAGAAACTTTTGTGCAATTATGTCCAGTCCTTTCAGGGAATACCACCACATTTATGTCCAGTAACAGCGTTGAAACCAAACCCTACCCAGCATGCCCTGAGCCAAGATGTCCACCAATCAGAGAAGGAGACTGAGCCTGGTTTGGCATCGCTTGGAGAAAGTGCTCACTCGAAAATGAGCAGCTGCAGTCATGACCAAAGACTTCATGAGCTCTTTTTGTAAACAAATTGTCCCTTGCTTCTCCTCTTCCATCCTCACTAGCCCAGTGAATGCCCTGCAACAAGTTGTGCACAGCACAGCCACTGACATCCAGCAGCAAAGCTAAAGGGCCCAGAGCTGTTTTTCTTTGCTCCACTGGCTTCAAACAGCTAAACTTCACTGTATTAGCCAACTTCCTGAGTATAGCATTACACATATCAGTGTAGCAGGATGTGTTAATGTACTTGAAATATGGAGATCAGGATATTTTAGTTGATTTTAGCATCCAGATTTGATTTACTGTCAGTTCCTGCTCGCTGATTCTTGGCTAAAACGTAACACCATATGTGATGTTTAGACATCGTCTCTAAAGCCTCTCCAGTGCACCCACATTGTGACTAATAGGGCGAAAGACCAATAGAACAAATTGAGGAATCCCACACACATAATAACCAGCTCCTCTTTAAAATCCATTGTGACCAACAGTATTCATTATTGCAGAGCTATAAGGGCAGTGACACTGGCCCAGAGAGGATTCAGGCACCCTCCACTGTACAGGCGAGCAAGCCCACATTCAGGGAGTATGAAGCTCTAGTTGTACAGACGGATTCTGTCTACCAGGATATTCATGATCATATAGAATCATGGCTGCATAGCAATGATCCAAAGTGCCTTTATGCTATATAATTTCTCCTTTTATCCATTTATCATTTTTAAACAGCATGCATGACAAAAATAACTACCTTCAAAGACAAAAATAGCCTTTAAGAATGAAATGCATTCAGAGAAAAGTGAGGATTCATCAAAATGTAAGCTTAGCCTGTTGCCTAAAGTAAAGAATAGAATTTTAGTTACGTGATCGTCATATCATTACAGCAAAAGTCTTCCCTTTGCTTCTTGGCTGTTTTATTCTGTATTGACTTTACTGTTGAGTCTATCCTCCCTTCAAACTTCAGGCCTCCTTTAATAGATCTTTAACAAACCCTGTCGATTTTTAGACATATCGAGAGCAGTTATAGATTTAATCAAGATTTCAAAAGTTTAATAAATCTGTTCATTTCAACTTGGGTCTGGAAGTCTCTCTTTCTTCACTAAGTCCATCTTCCTCTCAATTAAAAACGCCCAAAAAAAGCACTAAGCTCATCCATGGTTTCAATTCAGTCTTGCAGTATTGTCTATATTTGGAGACATCTGTCACAAAGGCATGTGGCTGAAATATAGATGAAGATAGATGTTCTCAGGTTT